TCTGCATGACATTGCTCTCATCAGAAATTTTCCCCTTATTTTTAAGTCTGTTACAAGTGAAAAAAATGCATTGAATATGCTCTACTTTATAAGGATTGTAATGATACTTAGATGTTTCTGAAATGTTAAATACTATAATGCTAAAATTCTTCTCACTTGGAAAATACTTGTGTCCTTGATAAGTCTTGCTTTTGAGAAAACTGAGTCAAACTGTTTGCAAATAAATCAGGAAAAAATATGAAAGTGGATTAGTTTTAGGACCTACAAAATAGATATCAGCTAGAAAAGTTGTTTTTTTTTAATTAAAAAAAAAAATAAAGTGGAGTTTCCTAGTGGAGTCTAAGAAGCAAATAGTTCCTTCATTATGCATCTTCTTTCATGATTTCTCAATGTTTCCTTAAGTCAGGAAAAAGTGAAATTAATGTGAATGTAATGATCTGAAAATCAAAGGATGGGAGGAGGAGAAAGTTTTGAACAATATAATTAATACAAGTAATATTAGACTTCTACATTTTCTTTTTAATATTCAACTTCTTTGCCAGTATTTTCAAACCAGAGCTCTGGTCTGAGTTTTAGAAATCTAATATTGCAAAATGAACACTTAAGTAAATTTAAAAATTAAGACATTTATTTTTTTTAATTGAAAACATCCTCTAATTATATTTTCAAATAATTCTATTTCTTTTGTTGTTGTTTTTTTGTTCTTTTTTTTTGTTATTAGAAATTACCCCAAACAGTTTTAGTTCAGATTTAAACAGATTTAAAGAGGAGCTACTGACATAACAGGAGATCCAAAAAACCAAAGCAGATGCATGAGCTGTTTGGAGCAAAGCAAGGTGTAGATCAGCTGTACAACCCCCCAACTACAGGCATTATTAAAAATATCTTTGATTTATGAGTCAAATCTGAAACCAGTCCTGCTCCTCTGCTGAGCACCTCACAGCAGCTCTGAGCACTCCCAGGTGTGGGTCCATGGGCCATGAGGACATGGCACCTCCCTGAGCCCTGTGCTGCCTTTCTGGTGACACCATCCCTGGTGAGAGGGACAGGAATGAGCGGTGCCCCTGATGCCAGTCCCGTTATCCCAGTGTGTGCTCTGGAGCCCAGGCCTGCTCCTGCTGCTCCTGCTGCTGTTCCTGCTGCTGCTCCTGCTGCTGCTGCTGCTCCGTGGGACTGACTGCAGGCTCTGCACCATTGCCAGCACCATTCAGCACCCCAGCTCTGGGAAAACTCCACCAAAGCACTGATGGGAATGTCCCTGCTGGAAAGGGGGAGGAACAGCCTGCCAGGATGAAAAGGGAAACTAGAAAGGCAATGACCATCAGCACAGCAGGGCCAGCAGCTTTCTCCTGTATCATTACCCAGGCTTTTTCCTAGAAATAGAATAAAAGCAGGCATAGCAGAGAAGTACCATTTCACTCTGACCATGACTATAAATACAACCAGCACGAAAACAGGTAATCCATAGTCAGTGCACACATTCAGCCTCAAAACTGCACATGTAGACACACATTTCCAGCAGCGCTTTGGAAAAAGCTGTGCCAGGCTGGGGTGGGCAGTAGGGCCAGCAGCACGTGCTCTGCACATCCCTCTGGGACAGCTGGTGATCCCAAGTGCATCCCTGAGGCTGCAGCTGGAGAGCCCAGACCTGCTGCAAAGAGGGGATCAAAGCCAACCTGCTCTGATGCTCGTGGCTGGAGCCCAATGCTCCTTCAGTCCATCTCTGCTGCAATAGAACAGAGCAAGAACATTTTACGTTATGTGTTTCCATGTTTTTAAAAGTTAGGAAACAGATGTAATTGTTTTTATCCTGTAAATCACATTTGTATCGTGGCCACGCCATATTTTATTCTCTTTATATTAAAAACCCCAAAATATTTGCTGGAATGATCTGTCTTTCAAGATACTAATCAAAGTAGGGTTTTGAGATTTCAATCAGATCTGTGTGCTTCTGAAAATTATTGATTTGAAAAATTCCAGGACCAGTTCCCAGTAACTCTGTTATTCGAACTGTACATCAGCAAAGTCATTTCCTCTTTCATCCTCTCTTTTGTATGCTTTGTTAAGTTAGAAAACCAAATCAGCATAAAATTCTTGCCAAAAGAAGGGAGAAATGTATTCAGATTTAATCTAGTGATTATGGTTCATTCGTTGCAAATAGCTCCTTCATCAAGGCCATCAGGTGAATTATTAACCACTTCCATCCACAAATAGAAAAATACCTTCAGTCACGAGGAAGCAAAGTCAAAAAAAAAAAGGTGACACAGGTTATTTGTGAGCACATCAGAGAGAGACACAGCAAAGGTTGCTCTGAATTGGAAAATACTGCTTGCAGGGGGCCAGGGAGACAGAAGAGCTGTCTGGTGCCCCACAGGGTTGACAAGGTGGCTGTCCTGGTTGGAGCAGTGATGTCCTGGTGTCCTGGCATCTCGCTGGCTCTGCCTGCACAGCTTATAGTAGCACACGGAGAGAAAACCGTTCCTAGGGAAGCATTTCAGCAGCAAGTGTTCCTCACAGGTTCCTCACAGCGTCACTACGACCAGACCTCACCAGTTCAGTCCCTGCTGTCAGCTCCCAAGAGCCCAGGGTGGCTCTGGCATGTCTCCAGCCCCTCAGGTGCACCCTGACATTGGTGTGACCAGTAGTTTTAGCAGACTACTGGTTTGGAGCAGCTGGGGAGCAGGCACAGAACAGGTAACGCAGCTTCTGAGCAATTAATTGAGCACATAAATAGAGTAGCAGGTAGCAGGAAGATGCTGTTGCTCCTTCCAGTCACCTCTAACACTAGTCACCAGGCTCAGCAACAGGTAAGAGAAGAATTTCTGGGAGCAGGCTGGGGAGGGGGGAACTCTTGGCTGTGTTGGGGGATAGGATTTTTATTTGGATTTACTCACAAAGGATTATTGGGGCTAATGAAGCCAAACAAGGTGACAGAACAGGTTGAGCTTGACACCTTTTAACCAGTCAATTCTAGCAGAATGCTGTTGATTCCAAACTGCTTTTACTGCTTTCAAATCCCAGTTTAGAGCAAGAGTTCAGAGGTTTCTCAGTAGAGAGGACTTTCTCCTGCTTCTAATAAAAATTCCCATCTGCCTTATGGGTGTGATCCCAAATAAGGGCAAATGGAAAAAGTGGAACAGTCCTTGCCTTTAACACAATCAATGCAACTGCCAAAAAACAGCATATATTTAATAAATGCAATGTAGATTGCTTTATTTGACCTTCTGTTCACAAAATAATTTTATTATATGTATGAAAGCAGCATACAGGCAATAAAATTATGAAAACATTCACAATACATAAATACACAGACCTGATGCAGGATGTATATAGTTCATTAGACTTTTAAATTTTTTCCTCTCAGTTCTCTTTTCCTGACAACACTTTTATATATATATATGTTATGAAAAAGTTGCTCCCAAGGGTATTTTCTCCCATTCAGAAAACAAATAGCTTTCTTTGAAGGCTGCTGAATGTTAACACCCAATGTTCCCGTTGCTAACGATCACTGATTGCTTTTGGCATTACAAAGGGAAAGCAGCAGGGAAGGACTATGGAAAAGTAGCAGGGTTTTTTTGAATTAGAGGTTGGCAACTTTTTTTTGGAGCTCACAGGATGTTTTTGAGGTGGGGGCTGCAGTTCCATCCATATTTAGAAATGTCTTAATCCAAAATGGTAATGAGGCACTATTCCTTATGGAATGGACTATCGACATGGCAATTACTAAAATGTAACGTCCTCCTGGTTTCCAAAGGGAAGCACCAGGTGCCTCACTTTGTCCTTCTGACCATGATACAGTGGCAGACAACATGATCCTGGTGGAGCTGCAGTAACATGAATGGTAAGGAGGGCTGACATGTTTCCTACCATTATAACCAATTGTGTTTGTTCAGAAAAGATGTCCCAAGACTCGAAATAAGAGAAGTCTGAGAAAGCTGTTTATCTTACATAAATACAAAACATTATATACTAAGAATTGTTACCTAAGAAGCTCTTCTTCTCAAATTGGATCCTTCTTAAGGTTGTAGTCATATTTAAGGTATTTACAGATCCACAAACTTGACATTCTAGCAAAGTCTTTGTGACATGAAACTTTTTAAAAAATAAATAGCAGCAATTTCTTTTATTTCTATAAGGGAAGAGAATTCACAACTCAGTCAACATCAGTCCTATCTTTGAAAGAAATCCCACTTAAAACCAAAATTTTAAAAAAAAAAAAAAAAGCCCATAGGCAAACAAACTCAACACAGCATCAGATTTGTTGATTCCTTCATTTCTTGCTGAGTTTCTTAACATTCATTTGTTCCCCTCACTGGCTCTACAGACTGTCAGAGCTTGTAATAAAGTGCTGACTGGTTGACTGGTCAAAATGCAATTATGACACTCCAAAAATATCCCATTATTTAGACATCTTAAATAACATAAATAAAGCTAGATCTGTTGTAACATATGAAAAATATCAATTTAAAACAATAAATAAATAAAGCCAGTATTGACATACTACCTCCCAAAGCTTTAAAAATAACCATTCTCATTATAAGGCTCATTTATTTGTCAGAAATAATTTGAAGAAGGCATGTACCTACCATTACAATCCCTCAGTCTTTTAGTAGGACCTGCTAACACCCACTTTCACAAGACACAGCAATCTTTTAACTTCTAGTAAACATTAATCTTTAAATACTTTACATTTATCTTTTGCCTCATTTTAAACTAGAAATTGGTTTCTCTATGTAAAGAAGCAGTATTTTCTTTGTCACTGTATCTAAATTTGTATCTTTTCCCCAGTATGAACAGTACAGTTTAATATCCTTTTTTTAAAACATTTTTTAAATATATTTTCCTGTGTGTTGTTTTAAATGGTAAATTTAATCTGAATGCCAGGAAAATTAATTCTGGGCTTGGTGTAAAGAGTTCTCTCTAGAGAACTTTTTTTTTTTTTTTAAACAAAAAAAAACAACTTTGTATATCTTTAAAAAAAGAATAATATTATTACAGTAGACATTATTAGGTCTTGCTGGGTAAACCTTGCTGCTCAGGTTTTATGTTGCCCATTTTGTGTAATGGGATTGATCTTTTCCAAAGAAACATCAGCTTCATAATCCAAGATACCTGACAATGCTGGAGACATATTCTCCAAGGTCTTAGATAGTTCACTCTCTTCTTCCTTTTTGAGAGGTTCTTCTTCCGGACAGATAATTGCATGTGGAATCAGATAAACCAGATTAGACTCTTTGGGACTGGACCCTTTGGCCTCGTGTTGGCTCGAAAAAACAACTGCTCCATTGTTGTTAATACTAACAGTCTCTATGGCATTGCCTGCAATAGGGCAGAGCCTGTAGCATCCCAGCAGGGTTGAAAAAGCCTTGCGGAAATCAGCATTGAAGGCATAAATTATGGGGTTGAGGGAAGAATTAGCCCACCCAAACCAAACAAAAACATCAAAGGTGGTAGAGTTAATGCAGAAAGCTTCTGCACCCTTGGACGGTTGGGTAGGCTCGCAGAAGGGAATCATGCAGTTCAACACAAAGAATGGCAACCAGCAGCACACAAACACCCCCATGATCACTGACAAAGTCTTTAAAACCTTTGTTTCCCTCTTGAAGGACATTTTGAAGTTGCTTTCTGGTTGCTGGCAGTCCATACTGCTTCTGTTGCCACTCGTGTTCTGGCAGTTCTTGGCATGCACTGCTGCTCTCTCCAAAGCTGAGATGCGTCGTATTTGCTTCTGAGCAATCCGGTATATCCGCGTGTACGTTACTATCATGATGGCCACAGGTATATAGAAGCTGATGAGGGAGGAGGAGATGGCATACATCCTGTTTAGGCTAGAATCACAGTTGTCCGTGCTTATCCCTTGTAAGCTGGCATTGAGGTCCAAAAAGCTTGTGGTTGTAGCCTTGTGCCAGTTCAGCTGCACAGGGATGAAGGAAATTAACACGGACAAAGTCCATGCCACACTGATCAGGATGAAAGCTGCCTTGGGGGTCATTTTCCTCTCGTACCTAAACGGGCTGGAGATGGCCCAGTATCGGTCCACACTAATGACACAGAGATTTAAGATGGAGGCTGTTGAGCACATAATGTCAAAGGCCACCCAGATGTTGCAAAAGGAACCAAAAGGCCAGAAACCAGCAATCTCAGCCACAGCTTTCCATGGCATGACCAGAACTGCCACCAAGAGATCTGACACAGCCAAGGAGATGACAAAGAAGTTGGTCACCTTGGACCTGAGGTGGCGAAACCTAATGACAGCTGCACAGACCAGTGTGTTTCCCAGCAGCGTGGAGAGGATCAGCAGTGAGAGGAAGCAGCCCGTGAGGATCCGAAAGGAAGAGTCCCTTTCCACCAGCAACCCTTCCCCGTCCATAGTGGTGTCATTCCAAGTCATAGCTTCTCCTGAGGGAAAATCATATCATGATTTTCATGATGACATCAGCTCCTTTCCTTGCAGAGAACAGAGACATCAGATGTCCATTAATTACTCATCACCAAACAGACCAAAGGTCCTTTCTTAGCAGTCCCTTCTCCCCCGGTTGGAATTCACCCACTTTCAATCTCCCTGAACAGCACTGAAAGCATTATGAGCAGGAACTGCAAATGCACAAACACTGTCCACTCTGCAGACTGTTTGGGTTTTTTTAAGCAATCCCTTCAGAATCGCACTACACCACCCCAGCATGAAGTAGCCTAATTCAGACAGCTCACCTGCAAATGTTCTGCTGCTCTCCTCTGCCAATACACCCCACAGACAGGAAGGCAATCACTTTTCCATGCTTGCATGTATTCCCACCAAAATAGGCTATTGATCGAGTGTTTCCAGCGTCCATTGCACCAGCTCTTCACATTCACTGAAGCGTAGTGGACAAGGTGCTTTTACTCTAGTTCAATTTCCTCAATGTCTCACTGATGAAACACTTCATCCTTCCTCCTTGGTACACTCCTATTACAACATGCACCAGTTCTCTCTTTCTGGGCAGTGTCAAAGAGCAATTCTTCACTTTGTTTCAAACTGGTTGAAGTTTTACACTTTCAAGACAAAGAAAATGAACATACAGTAGGTGTGCTTTAAGGTTTTCAGGAAGAAGCAGCTCAGGTTATTTAGTTTTATTTAAATGAGAAATGCTGGCTCCTACCTTTCACCTCTGATTCTCTGCTTGGTCTGGGATGCGGGGCCGTCTCTCCTCCTCTTTTAGTTTTGGAGTTGCATAGCAAACCTCATACACAAAACCAGCACAGAAACGCTGCATCGCATCAGGCGTATGTGGGTTTGTTGGGTGGGTTTTTTCCCCTGAAAGTGCAGATTGGGAAGGGAGGAGTAAACCCAGGAGCCGGCAGGGTCTGACCATCAGGAGTTAGTTTTTAAGGGAGCAGCAGGTTTGGGCTGGGGGACGGTGGGTGACGGACCCGGCCGGTGTGTTCCCAGCTGCCTCCATCCCACCGCCCCCTCTGATCACTCCGCAAATGTCGTTGGCCGGGTCGGTCCCAGTCGCACTTTGTATATCCCGGCCGGGCGGCACATCAAGGCAAACCATCCCATCCAAAAGGCACGGTATTCCCAACACCGGCAAGAGCCGAGTACCAGTTCTTTCTTCCGTCGTTCACTGGAAGGAGAAGAAGGGCGAGAGGAGGAGAGGGACCCGGGTGACCCCCCTGCTGCTCTTCCAGCGGGGACCAGTCGCTTTAACGTTCCGCTGCGAGGTGACAGCTCTCCAAAACTAGCCTGGAATAATCCCACCTCCTGCTCAGCGGGGCTGCGCTCCAGGGATCGGGTCCAGCTGTTAACATGCTTTTTCCCCTCTCAGAAAAGCGCAGGCGGCGGCAGCTCCTCACGCCCTCCCGCAGCCCGTTCCGGGCCCCGCATCCCCGGTACCGGCGAGTCCCGGCGGCAAAGGCTTCCTTCTGCCCGGGCAGGGCTCGGCAGCATCGCCCCTCCAGGGAAGGTCTGTCTGCCTGGCGTCTCTTTCCTAGAGGATTAAGACAAAGGGAAGACAGGCACGGAGGCACCCAAAAGGCGAGAGGCAACCCCCCTTCACTTCCTCTAACATCTTCGATAGGGCGCGGCTTCCTCTGTTCTCCCCGGTTTTCCTGCCTCCCTGGGGAATAATATCGGGCAGAGAGGCAAAGCCGAGCTCCTGGATCTCCTGTCCTGGAGTTTAGCGCAAACGGGATCACTTTGCCCCGTCCTGAGCTCCGGGACGCCCGGGATGCTGCGTGATGCTCGGGCGCTGGGAGCCAGCGGAGTTCAATGAATCGATGC